GGACTAATGGGCTGACCCCGATTTATCACGGGCAGGGGTGGGGGTCTCCAAAAATGGACCCTTGCAGGACTCTGCTTCAACCTATTATCACACCACATCACAACAATTTAACATTTAAAACTGAGCTGGGGGACAGGTCAGGATTCAGTGGAAATGTTCTTGTTAACTGTCAGACTGGAGAAAACCGAGACACGTGAATAATATCGCTGTGAATATTTCAACCGTATTGCACAATGCTGCCACTTTTTGAAGAGACAGTGAAAATATATGACTTTAGCTCATACAGTATGTACACAGAAGAGTTTAACTTAAACTTCACCCACACTCCGCCCACAACCACATTTCAAACAAAGCTGCTGAACTGGGCAATATCTGGAGAACTAAAGAAAGGAGTGAGGGAAGAGAAGAGGCGGGGTCTGGAGGTAAGAGGAACAGTGTGATTGGTCGAACAGGTACCCACCCTCCAAACTCCGCCCCTGCAGCCAGGTGTTCGATTATCTTCCAACTCCCACCTCGGACCTCGGATTTGATGTCACGTCCCAACTTGAAGCGTATTATGTTTCGCGTGTCAGACTACGTGGATTATGGTTATGAAAACGCTGCCACTGCAATTTATTTAATTTTTGAAATGTTCATATCATTTTTTGTTATGATTTCTCTTCCATCACAACCTTAGGGATGTTAACGCCTCTTAAATTAAGTATTTGTTCAATACTGGCCTCACTACAACACCGACTATCAGACCCACAGGCAGTGATACAGACACAGTAAAGATATGAGTGACTGAAATTGTCATTTAAACCACCAAAGAGTCCAAACACAATGAAAACAGTTCATGTTTACACGTCACAGTGGGCGGAGCCATCTTGGATTCTGACTCGGAATCCTTGTTTGGTCTGCTTTTTCCTCCACTGAGGTCCAAGTCGCGCCGTCCCAGGAAAAGGAGCGAGTAACAGGTGGGGCTAGGCAACTTCCTCGGAAAACCGATTCGGAAGGATAATCGAATGCAGGGTAAAGAAAAGAGTGAGGGGAGAGGAGGGGCAGGGTTTGGAGGTAAGAGGAACAGTGTGATTGGTTGAACCTGTATCCATGCTTCAAATTCCACCCCTGCATCTAGGTGTGGGTAAACAGAGAGTCATGACTGTGATGTCACCAACTACTTGAAATTGCAGAAGCCACTGAAGACAGCACACTTAGATTTTGGCATTTTTTATCCAAACTCCAAACTTGTATAATGTGTAAACTTTAGACTAATATGCTATAGGATTGTGTAACAAGTACTGGACATTATACAAACAGTTGGGAAATAGCAATGTCCCTAATTAACTTTTTAGGTCGTGTTTATTAGGCCATTTTTACATGGACCATATGGCACATTAAAGTGTTTTTCTCATTTGGAAACATTAGGGCTCTACTGATGCAAGATCTTATAAAGTAAATTTTGTTTACTTCTTAAAATATATGGAAGATAAACTCTTAAAGGCAATACAGAAAGCTGTAAATTGACCAAGTTTTCCCAAAAATAATTAGCAACGCCATATAAACAGTTCAGTAGTAAAAAAAGGTTTATCATTTATTCCACTTTAAAGCCAAATTATTCATAGTTGCCAGACCACCTCCACTCATTTTTTTTTTTTTAGTTTCTTTTATTTTCAACATGTTCTCATTTGAAAGACATTATTATTTAGTTTAAAATCGCTAATCACTATGGCAACAGTCCTAATTTCCATCACTCATGTCTTAACGAATCCAAACCAAAAATTTAATGAAAAACCCGCTGATATTTAGTGATGTGTTGACCACTATATCGGGCATATATTTGGACTTTTTAGCACAGACCAATATTTTGTTTTCGTCGATCTGTTGCCTAAAAAATACACACAAAGATTAATTTCAAAACTTGATTGCAAAGAGATAACAGCACAAAACTTGAAAAGGCTTATGAAAAAGTTTGTAGTCAATTTAAATTACATCATTTGGGGAAAATAATCTAAATCAGCCCTACATATCGCCCCAAAAATTTCGGCAGAGCTTATCGACCATGAAAAACCCGTATCAGTCCATCTCTCCTGATTTTAACTCATTTTCTTCTTCAACACAACAACAACACGATTATCCACAGTCAATTTCCCCACACAAACGCCGCAGGCTGAACTATTCTAAGATGGACCATGCTTCCATAAATAAAACAGGACCAGTTGGCACAAGCTTCAGCACTCGCTCCTTTTCACCCAATAGACCATCGCATTATCAGGGACGATTTACGTACGCTGGGTCTTTTGTTAGGGCTACAAGATAGAGCTCAATCGAATCGAAATTGGAAAGGTTGCAAATCAAATAGACTGTGATTATTTATTTAAAGAGGTGGTATTTAGCTTCCATGGGGTATTGACTGCTAACACATAACCTATGAATGTGTGTGGATGGGTGCGTGGTTCCTTTATGTAAAGTGTTTTGAGTGCCTTGAAGGTCAAAAAGAGCTATATCCTCCTGGGACCCAAAGAAAAAAAGTGTATTGATATATCATGTGTGGGATCCGGAATCATATCACCAACCTGTGGGTCTGTGGATCTGACCGCTCCGCTACTAATGTTTATGTCGAGAGAGGGATTTGAGCCGCCAACCTCCAGATCAGATATTTGAGCGACTGTCAGCACATTGCTCCCCTCTTTAAGTCACTCCCCTTTCAGAGCGCTATCACAACACAATCAGCGTGCATAATTCTAGTGAAACTGCTGTACATGGCGTCAGGTTTGTGAGGTTGTAGTGTATTGCTTTGTATCACGTTTTTTGTATATTTATGGAGAATCATTGTGCAGAACCTTGAGTGACATAGTTTAGTTTATTTTATTTACTTAATGAAATGGGGACAGTGCACAATATACATTAACCTTAACAGGAGAGATGCATTGTACCAGGTTGTAGCATCAGTACTAATTTCCACCTGTAATCCCTGGGCAAGATCATTGATTGATTGTATTTAATTGACCTTAGCTATGAGCAATCGGCTATTCCTACCTGTGTAGCCTGTTTTGGGTTGTAGGCTTGTGGGCTGAGCATTGGACAGAATCTTACTGCTGATCAGTGTAAGGAAGCTTCAGATAGGGCCTGGGAGAGATTGCTAAAGAACTCAAATATACATGTATGACATTTCCTTTTCAGGCATGTTTTTGATGAGGAAACAACGTTATAACACGGTAAAAACTTCAAAAAGTCAATTTTGCAAATACCTCTTTAAGAACATTGCAAACACACTCTTATTCTGTCTAAAACTGCAGTAAACCCTTTAATTTAGACTTCTACAAACATGTTCTGAAATGCATGGTACTGTTAGGTTAGTTTAGAAGGTCAGATTCATGATTATATGATGATGGTCTGTACAGAATTTGCAAAAGTGGTGTCGCGTCTTCACTTTTTATTCTGCATATAGACGAGTGTTTTTGGAGAGGAAATCTGCGTGCAAACGGTGACTCAAAAGTGTGTGGAATTCGACTGGGTATGCATGCCAGACGGCTAGGCGGTGACGCTAGATGGTGATGTATGTGACGTAAACGCGTATGCGACGCGAGCAGATCTGACCAGAGTTTTGCGTCTTGGGCAGCGTAGACAGAAACGCTACGACGGAGCGTGTACAACTTTTCCACTCTGGAGGGTGGTTTCAGATTTTTGCATTTTTAAACCCTAAAAACGCCGTCACCGTGTAAATGAAAGGCACTTCTGATAAAATATTTTGTTGTTTTTATCCGCAAGCATTCTCATGTAAACAGACCCTCAATCTTCTCTCAAATATGAACACTCCTGGACTTCGAAAAGAAATCAACTATTAAAACATAAATCACACATCTAATCCCAATGTTTGTTCCCCAAAATTGTTTCAACCCTTTTTACCTTGTCTAAAAACCCTTCGACCCCTGCTGTGCCCATACGGAGCTGGTACAGGAAGCTTTTATATGGTAATGCAATCGATTGGAGTGAGGAGCGCACCAATCAGATGCGTCTGATTTATGTTTAACGAAGTGCGAGGGGGGAGTAGTCGCTTGGCAACCGACTAATGAAATCTAAGAGGCGCCTGGGCTTTTAAAAACGGGACCTTCGCACCTCTCCTCTCTCAGCTGCCGAGCGCTCTTCTCGCTACGGCTGTCGCTATTGAAACCAACTGAATAAAACCCAATTGGGCGATAAATATAGGGCTGTTGGAGGAAGATATGCGGTTTGGGGTTGCGTGACAGCTTCGTAAAAGACGAAAGTAGCGTAAATCAAATCACTTTAATGGCATTACGTTCATTACGCACGGAAAGACAGTGGGTACATCTTGAACGCAATTATACATAGGCATCAGGGAGACGAAAATCTGTCACCGTTGCCATAGCAATTAACAAAACTGAATTTATCTATTGAATGGGCAAAAGTCTCAGAATATAACCTCTACATCATGAGCTGAAACTCGTCAATCAATCGTCATTTCGCAAACGGGATTTAGTTAAAATATACGCACGTCGGCGACTAAATTTCGTGACAGTTTTGTAACGAACGCGCAGGTGCATACCCAAAGTCTATGAAATAATAATGCAACGTGGAATAGCCATGAAAAATACGTAAAAGTTGGAGAGGACGAACAAGAATGACTCTCGGCAGCAACCAAATTACGCGCAGGCAGATGATGACAGCGCATACCCAAAATCAATGTAATTATAACGCCAAACGTGGGATAAGCATGAGAAAAAATACGTAAAAGTTAGGGAAAACGAGAATATAACGACGCTCGCTTCGAAACGAGCGTCTCCGCGAGTGGATGAGACTGACAACTGTTACTGTGGAAGCCAAGTCGCCCGCTCCCTCGCTCTCCCTCTCCATCCACCTCGACGTGTTTTCTGACAGAATAAGGATTAGATAAGCTTCGATCATCCACAAGTGACACGCCAGAAGCAAGACGCGACCGCGAAATGGCACAAAAGCGCACGAAAAACACCAAACAAACATCGCATTGTTTCTGTACTCACAGCAATTGGTGACGGCAAAACTATTGGCCACTTCCAGATTGTCAATGTGAGGCGTGAGGCGAAATTCCTGCGTGCCAAATTGAACCATTCCTATCCGAAACGCGCTGTACTCCTGGTCGGCACCTCTTGGAAATAGCCCGCCTGGAAACAAAAACAAAAAAAAAAGATCGGGAAACGTTTGTAAATAACTGTTGGAAGAAGTGAATTCGCGTAAACTGGCTCGGTTCACCCACCGATTTGAACGCTGGGCGAGCCTCCTAGCGCGCACCCCCATAGAACCAGCAGCACCGAAATGGATAAACTGACTATCTTTCGCATGTCCGCGGTTCCAGTGTCCACATCCACCGGGGAGAAGTACGAGTCCGCGCCGTGGGTTTGCTGGCTGTTAGATCCCGGGCATAGTGGAGCCTTGGTAACGCGGGGAGGAAAAGGGCGGCAGTGGAGGAATGGATGCCCGCTCCGTGCAGCTCTGAGCTCGGCGACTGTGTGCGTGTGGGTGCGCTGCTGCTCCCCTCCTCGCGGTGATGTCTCCTCCTCCTCCTCCTCCTCCTCTTCCTCCTCCGCTGCCTCCTCTACCTCCTCCACCTCTCCAGCCGCCCTCCTCCATAAGAGTGACCATTTCAGATTGCAGAAAATGAGGGACACTTTTGTTGGCTGCATAGATTTTCACGGTTTTCTAATTATGACTTGGTTTGGTGAAGTAGTCCCTGTGGTGATTTTTTGTCATAGTTTTACATCAGTTACGTGTCAGTTTGTGAAGAAATGTTGTTGAGAAGTCCAAAAATAGGTCTAAAGAAGTAGGGGTGAGTTCTTAAATGGAAAAACTCTACCTATGTCATCCACACCGAAAATTGTAATAAAAAATGCAGAGAATTTACGCACAAGGACGAAATTTTTAAGGTAGTTTAAAGAGTCATTAAACAGTTCCATCTAGCATTTATTCATTACAGCTGTTTCTATGGCTCAAAAACACAATAATTACTTCTGTAAATAGGGCTGACTCTCCACAGATCTGAACTGTAATGTATCGTGGTGTAACCTGCTTCCTTCTCTCGTTTAAATTGGTTTAATCTAAACTTTAAACACTGATTAAACAAAATAAAGTTGTTTTTATTAGCCTAAACATAAATATTGTGCTGTTTTTGACAAGTTTTGGCTTTTGTTAACATTATGGTTGCTGGGTAACAGTTATGAAATTGCCTTTACGTGTGTCATACGTGTGTCCATCCAGGAATGAAAAACGCGAGGGTTTTTTTGGTGAATCTGTCACACGCGCTTTCACTTTTTATCAATCAGAGCGCGCAGAGAGATATTGGAAAAGCAATACAAGGCACCATATCACTACCAAGGAAAAGCAATACCTAGAAAAGCGGGAAATGTACGTAAATCTTAGTTTTTATTCGCGTAAAATTCGCGTAGCGTCAAAGAAACAGTGGGACGTTCTGTAAATAAGCGGGGCGAGGAAAATGGACCTTAGTGGCTGCACAGGACGACCAAAAGAGGGACAGGTGGTGAAACTCTCCAGCTTTTCTCATTCGCATACACGCGCACACGTACTCGCGCGCGCACAGACACAAAGCGCACGTGGGGGATGTTAATGAGCGCACGGACGCACGTTGAGCAGGTGGACGCACGGGACCAAAGTGACACGAGGCCAGATGTGAACTTCAGAGGAGAAAGGTGCAACATGGAGACAAAGCACAAACAGTCTGGCAAAAGATACATTAAAATAAATAACTAGGATTTTCAGCGTTGGGAAGGTTACTTTTAAAATGTATTCAACTACAGATTACAGATTACATACCCCAAAATGTAGTTTGTAATGTAATCCATTAAATTACTTAAAGTGAGTAACGTAATCTGAATACTGTGGATTATTTGATGTGCTGTAGAGAAGCAAAGACTAGGAAATCTTCATATAAGATGTTTTTTCTGCTAAAAGAAAATAAAAAGCCCAGACTTTACTGAACCAGATTAAAAATATTATTGATAGAAGAAGAGGAGACACGTCCTCGCAGCATGATTTAGTCCTGTTAAATCCTGTTTTAGACCTGGTTTAGACCTGGTTTAATCCTGGTTTAGATCTAGTTTAGACCTGGTTTTAGACCTGGTTTTAGACCTAGTTTAGACTTGGTTTTAGTCCTGGTTTAGACCTGGTTTTAGACCTGGTTTTAGTCCTGGTTTTAGTCCTGCTTTTAGTCCTGGTTTAGTTCTGGTTCAGTCCTGGTTCAGTCCTGGTTTAGTCCTGGTTTAGTCCTGGTTTAGATCTGGTTTAGACCTGGTTCAGACCTGGTTCAGACCTGGTTTTAGTCTGGGTTTTAGTCCTGCTTTAGTCCTGGTTTAGTCCTGGTTTAGTCCTGGTTTAGACCTGGTTTAGACCTGGTTTTAGTCCTGCTTTTGTCCTGCTTTAGTCCTGCTTTAGTCCAGCTTTAGTCCTGGTTTAGTCCTGGTTTAGATCTAGTTTAGACCTGGTTTTAGACCTGGTTTTAGTCCTGGTTTTAGTCCTGGTTTAGTCCTTTTAGTCCTGGTTTAGATCTGGTTCAGACATGGTTTTAATCCTGCTTTAGTCATGGAGACCAAACCAAACTGAGTTACAGGTAGGTCAGATCTATGGAGAGGCGACCCCGCTCACAGTCAAAATGCCTGTCTGCCTGTGTTTTTGAGCTGTAAAACCACCTGTAAATGAATAAATGTAATGTGGAGCTGTTTAATGTCATACTGTGGAACATTCCAGGCAGAGCAATGACATATACATAGAAAAAAAAAAAAAAACAAAAAAACACACAGTGCACCTTTAATTCAAAATGAACATATATATGGAAAAGAGTTGATAAAGATGCTATTTGAAACCAAAGATCTTTTTTCACCACACTGACTCCCATTTTTCATTAAAAAAACAAAACAAAACAAAAAAACTTAAAACTGAATATTGAAGCAGGAACGGCCTTTTGTCTGTGTAACCTTCACTTGACCGACAGCCAACGCTTTGTAAAACAAAAAGAAAAAAATGGTAACAAGAAGAAGATGAAAACATGTCTTTGAAACTACAAACTCACAATTACATTTGGTTAAAAAAAAAAAAAAAAAAAGTGAAAAACAGTACAAAAAAAATAAAAAAATAAATAATAATAATAATAATAATAATAATAATAATAATAATAATAATAATAATAATAGAATACAAAGAAAAATAATTGGGGGTAAAATACAAATAAAAATACAATTATCCATCATTTGAATTTGCAGATATGGATGACCAGTTACTATATGCATTCATGGGGCTTAACTTCTTGTTGTAGGCGACATTTTAAGGACTTTTCACCATTCAAAAGACATCATATTTTCTTTTAAATTGCCATTCGCGAAGGTATCAATCTTATTTTTCCATCCTCGCGAAATCCAAGTATAGATACCACATACGCACGCCATATATATAGTTAATGGCACTAGCTAATGATGCATGAGGCACTAAGTCGAAGCGCTGGGATGTTATTTCAAAGAAGTGAGATGGATACCGATGCCGAGAACCTATCCAAAGTGCCACACCGAACAAGTGGGCTAAACATGAGACAGAGAATACAAGCCATGAGTTAGTCTTATGATGTGTATATTTCATGTTCGGAGGATGTATGTGTATTAATAATGAATGGGAGAGAGAGAAGAGACAGTCACTGAGTAGGTGTAGAAGAAGAGGAGCAGTAAAACGTTTCAGCACCATGGACAGCTCTTCTGGAAACAATCATTTACTACAGTGAAATAGGCCAGATTAGTAACAGAAATCTTATAGTTTGAATAATACATGTATATATTTTTTAAACTTCCGATAATTTGTTACTATTTTAACTAAGAAATACAGAAGTAAGTTGTTTTTAAAGGTGCACTGAGCAACTTTTCTCATCCACAACCTACTTTCTTACTTGTTTCTATTGCTCAAAAATACCATAACGTCTAACGATGTAATGATATCCAAATCTCTCGGTGCGATATTATCACGATATGCATATCACGGTACGATATTTATTGCGATATTTTGTAGAAAGGCTCATATAATTGTAGATAGGATGCTTTTTTGCTTTTAAAATACCTTGACAAGGTTTTGGTGTGAATTATTTCCATTATAATCCCAAGAATTCAAGTAAAAAACATGTTTCTTTATGCTGTCTGCACTGAAATTAATCATGGGATATGTAGTTCCCTATATATCTAAGGTGTTGCTACTGTAAAACTGTGCATTTAAGCAAAGGAACTTGTAATTGGATATATTGAGAGACTTTTGACGATACAATATCACAATATTTCTATTACTGTTACATCCTTAATAACTCCCTCTGTGAACAGGGGCGTCTCTCCGCAGATCTGAATTGTAATCTGGCGTAGTGCTGTGAACCTGCTTGTCTTAGAAAAGTTTAGCCAATACTGTGGAACATTATAAACAAAGCAATAACATTTCCATAAAGACAAGCAGGAAATACAGAATGCAGCTTTATTAAGTTAACAGCGACAATCAGTAGTTAAAGGTTCTCAACCCAGTTTTTACCCATGCAGTTGAGGAAAATGTGTCTTGCCCCAGCACAGATATATTGTATTATCAGCTCTTGAAGTCAAATTAAATCTGTACTATCTGTATCTATTTATGAAAACATTTTATTCTTCGATAATCAGGAAGTGCATTAAAACTCAGCTCTGGCCTTTGAAAGCTTATAAACTCATTGTGGTGAATAATTAAAATGTTTTTAATCCAAGGTCAGTGTTGGGGAGTAACAGATTACATGTACCAGAGTTACGTAATCAGAGTACAAATTATGAGAAACTGTATTCAGTTACAGTTACTGTTTCACTGAGTGGTAATTGGATTACAGTTACTTTGTAGAAATAAATGGATTACACGGCGGTATTTTCCTGTTTTCCTGTTTTCACATTTTGGGCTGTATCCCCCTTTCCTTTTCTTTTTTTCCCACTCATTGCTGGAAACTAAACCATGTCTAAACTAGATCTAAACCAGGTCTAAACCAGGTCTAAACTAGATCTAAACTGGACCTAAACCAGGTCTAAACCACCACTAAACCACCACTTAACCAGGACTAAAACATGACTAAACCAGGACTAAAACAGGACTAAACCAGGACTAAACCAGGACTAAACCAGGACTAAACCAGGACTAAACAGACTAAACCAGGACTAAACAGGACTAAAACAGACTAAACCAGGACTAAAACAGGACTAAACCAGGACTAAACCAGGACTAAACCAGGACTAAACCAGGACTAAACCAGGACTAAACCAAGACTAAACCAGGACTAAAACAGGACTAAAACATA